ACTAAAGAGCAAACCCAACTACTTCTTTTGGCACTTAAGCTTAAACACAATTTGACCAATGACTGTCTTGAGGATGTCATGAAAATTCTAAATGTTGTTGGTGGTAATGATTCGGTATGCAGGACAAAATATTCATTTTACAAAGCTTTCGATTATACCAAAGACATTATGAAAATCTGTTATGTGTGTGACCAGTGCAATAAAATAATGTCAGCTGAACTGGACCATGTTCATTGTGTTCAATGCAACATTACTTATGACAAAGCCAGCAGGTTCACCAATAATTTTTTCATATACCTCTCCTTGGAAGATCAAATAAAACATCTTTTGAAAATTCCAGGAATTACAGACGAATTGGTACAAAGGCAAACAGAAACATCAACATCTGTCAGTGATATTTGTGATGGTTTTTTGTATCAGAAAGCTTTAAGTGGTTCAGATACGCCCCTTCAAACCCTTACCTTGACATTTAGCTGTGATGGTGTGCCAGTTTTTAAAAAGTCCCCTTGTAGTATTTGGCCCCTTTTATGCACCATTAATGAGTTGCCGTTGAAAATGAGACCGGATAATGTACTCTTTTGTGGACTGTGGTTTGGGGATGAGAAGCCTAATATGAGAACATTCTTAAATCCTTTTGTAGAGGAATGTGTAAAACTAGAGGACAACGGTTTCACATGGGAATAGGACAAAGGTGTTTCTATCACTACAAAAGTAATCCCTCTAGTTCTGATGAGTGACTCAGTTGCCAGACCTCTAATACAGAATGTCAAACAGTTTAATGGTGAATATGGCTGGTCCTATTGCCTTCACAAAGGAAAATGGGTTGAAAAGGGCAGAGGATCTACTCGTGCATATCCTTTTCAGAAAGACCTCCAGCTTCGCAATCAGGAACAGACATGAATTTGTAGAAGCTGCGTTAGAGTCAGGACAGCCTGTTATGGGTGTCAAAGGACCAAGTGCATTGTGTCGGCTTCCCAGTTTTGATGTAATTGAAGGGTCTGTGCCAGACTACATGCATTCAGTACTTCTGGGTGTTGCACGAACTGTAACAGGGCTGTGGTTAAACAGTGAAAACCATGAAAAACACTGGTATATAGGTAGGTCTACAAAAGTGATAGACGAGTTGCTTTTAAAGATTAAACCACCATGTAATGTACCTCGTGTGCCAAGATCAGTCACATTGAGGAAATTCTGGAAAGCCCACGAGTGGTACATGTGGCTCTTTTATTATAGCTTACCTGTACTAAAAGGTGTCTTGCCAGAACCACTACTGAATCACTGGTCAAAACTAGTTAAGGGTGTATCACTTCTGTTGGGTGAAAATATAATCAGAGACCAGATTACGGAGTCTGAGGCACTTCTAACAGATTTTGTGAAAGACATGGAGGTATACTATGGGGAAGCCAATATGTCTTATAATGTCCATCTTTGCCTCCATTTACCAAGAAGTGTAGTTAACTGGGGGCCTTTGTGGGCTCACTCTGCCTTTGTATTTGAGTCTTATAATGCTAAACTACTCGACATGATCAAAAGCACTCAAGGGGTTGCACTGCAGATTGTCAAAACTTTTTGGTTACAAAAGGCTTTACCTTTTTATGGTCAGACTATCCTAAAAGATGCCTCAAATGAATGCAAGGAGATCTTTGAAACTCTGACAAGACCAAAACGGTTGAAACATGTAACTCGCACACATGATGTCACTGCACTCGGTCGTCCTAAAGTGCGATTACTTAGGAGAGATGACTATATGGCACTGAGTCGTTATGGGGTACAAAAAGGCAGGGTAAAGTACTTTCAACGAATCATTACAAATGACGAGGTGGTTCACTCAGAAGATTACAGCCGTGTATCTAAACGCAATTCATTCACTGTTGTGTTGAATGACGAAGATCAAAACTTTTTTAGAATTGAAAGATTCTTGATTTGTCAAAGTGAAAATGAGGAGAGGTGTTATGCCATTGGCAGATTCTATGAACAAGCAAAGCATAGTCTCTGTGCCTCAAATCCAAGTTACTTTGAACCAGTGTCAAAAAATCTTGGACATCTTACAGCTATTCCTGCTTCAGCTATCAAATGCAAATGTCTGATCATTCACACTGAAAAACTCAAAGTTGATTACATTTTTAGAAATATGAATCAGTCTGAATTCCTTAAATGAGACGTCAAATGAAGCTAAGAAGAGTGGCCTAAGTTGTTTTATTCAATTTGATCTTTAGTGTCAGTGTACAATGTTTTTTATAATGTAATAAGTGTATATTTATCTTTTAAAATTTGACGATGAATTAATGGCAAAAAGCTATGTGTACATTACTAAAGCAATGCAAAATATTATGCTATGTGGTATATTTTGCAAAATGATTTAAAAACAATTTATGTAAATAATTGTAGCTTTTTCAGTTTATTTTGTAATGCTTATGTTGATATAACACAGACATCTTACCGCTATTCCTGCTTAAGCTATCAAGCAAATGTCTGATCATTCACACTGAAAAGCTCAAAAGTTGATTACATTTTTATAAATATTAAAAATGATTTAAAAACAATTTATGTAAATAATTGTAGCTTTTTCAGTTTATTTTGTAATGCTTATGTTGATATAACACAGACATCTTACCGCTATTCCTGCTTAAGCTATCAAGCAAATGTCTGATCATTCACACTGAAAAGCTCAAAAGTTGATTACATTTTTATAAATATTAAAAATGATTTAAAAACAATTTATGTAAATAATTGTAACTTTTTCAGTTTATTTTGTTATGCTTATGTTTAAATAACACTTACATGTCATTATCATTAAAAAACACGTAATTAATTGAATATTTAATGGCAAGAAGTCAAATGTACATTTCAAAGCAGTGTTTTATATTGTGCATTGTTTTTGCTCTGTTTATAGGCTACTGATGATTTTAATACTGTCACGGCTTGGCAGATGAAACACTTATTCAGACGATAAGATTTAATGTAACAGCGTGTTAACAGAAACATCACGTTCACAAAAACAATAACCGACCCGGGAGAGAACTGAACGGGAGAATATATACACAGGGTACTATATACACAGGTAAACGAGAGAATATATATACAGGTAAACGAGGGAACTAACTAGACACAGGTGGATGAAGGTTAACTAATCAGGGATAGAACAAGAACAGGTGCAGACAAGACAGAGCATAGTGACATGCCCGGATATAATGGATACTTTTGCTATCCATCCACATTCTACTGTAAGGTTGGAAATGTATTTTCTTGACCCTGAAATACATTTTGAAATATATTTTGGTAAATGAAGGATGAAAATAAATATATTTTAGATTTCAAAAAAATTTTTTTTTTAATTTCACAGTTACAACATATATTTAAAATATATTTTGGCCAGAAAAAATATATTTTTTTTACCGTATGTCTCTTTTACACGCCTGGTGTGGCGACAGGTTTGGGTAAATAAAGGCCGGTGTTCCGGAAAATTCTGTTCCCCTGTTTCCCCTTCAGCGCGCATGCGCAACAGCAAGACGAAAATCATGATCTCACGTCATTATTCCGCGCAAGCTCCTAGCCATATTGTGCAATTGTGCATCGCGGTGTTTTTACTTATTCTCCATCACAGTAATGTACATTTTACTCTGTTTGTTAGATAATCTGCAATTGCATACAGGTTTTAAAGCATAGAATGTATATTTTCAGATGTTTATGGCTCAATCGGATGTAGATAACGTTACACTTGCTAATTCTAGTTATACGTTCTTTTTATTATTATTTTTATTACTGCGTGTGTGTCGGTTTGCTGTAGACATAAATAAACTATATTGCACTGCACAAATAAGTAATCTGTGTTGTTATTCTCATTTACGTTATTTTATGATATTCGTCTACTTGAAGGCCCAGAAAAAGTGGTTCTGTATAGTACATTTTCAGTATTTATAACACACTGTAGTGATGCTGGTGATGTATTTAAGTGGCATCTTCATGTGTAAACACTGTCATCCATCGATCAGTCTCTTACACTGAACACACAGGGGGAACCGTTTTACCTGCTGGCCCAGAAAAAGTGGTTCCCCCCCTGCAATATTACATTTTTAAGGAATTCATAACACACTGTAGTGATGCTGGTGATGTATTTAAGTGGCATCTTCATGTGTAAACACTGTCATCCATCGATCAGTCTCTTACACTGAACACACAGGGGGAACCGTTTTACCTGCTGGCCCAGAAAAAGTGGTTCCCCCCCTGCAATATTACATTTTTAAGGAATTCATAACACACTGTAGTGATGCTGGTGATGTATTTAAGTGGCATCTTCATGTGTAAACACTGTCATGCATCGATCAGTCTCTTACACTGAGTGGATCCCACCATATTATATTCCCGCCAGATTTCTTTTTACCCATCCCCCACCTATGCACATTTGACTTTATAACACAAACGCGCACTTTTATTGATTCTCATTATTGCTTATCACAAATAACAAACATATGATTTATAATCTCTCGTGGTATGCACAGTGCACGGTACACGCATGCGCTACTGGTTATCGGCTTATAGCATAATAATAAAACAAGGATTTTATTTTAGTTCTTGCGTTTGAATGAGGAAGCATTTATGAGGTAAGTTTTGCTGTGTGATTTTTTTTTTGGTGCTGTATTTAGTATATTAAATACTATGATGCATTTTTTGTCATGATTAATAACATTACTGCCATTATTTTATAGTAAATCATAGTGATTGTTTCCTACTACTTATTATAGTGATAATTATAGTGATTGTTTCCTTTACTTATTATTCCGATTGTGTAGCTCATTTAAATAGTTCTACATTACAAGAAGTCTAAACACATGCTTTGTAAGTGGCATTTATATGAATTAGATTTTTTATTTTTTTTATTAATCTAAATTAAGTGTAAAACTCTTTTTTTTTCAGACAATGTATCATATCGTAATCTTTGAAACAACAAATGAAGTCGAGGTTGTCCCCCAAAATTGGGTAAGGGACAATATTTGTATGTGGCCTCCATACAAATATGAAGATAGAGTTAAAGCCATAAAATCAATGGTAAAGCCAGGACCATCTTGGACTCCCTTCAAAATCCGGATTATTTTTACTAGAGGTACATATATCCATAGCTTCCATGGGTCAGATTTACTAACAGGTTGCACCAGCATTACCCTCTTTTGGTCTCAGGATTTATTAAAGACACTAAAAAGGCGTGAACAGTTATTTTTGCAGCTGACATTGTTGCATAAGCGTTTGTAAGAGTTCCCTTTCAGACTCATGCAGAATCATTCAGATTAATTTAAATGAATCATGCAAGGCGATTTACTAAGGTTGATGCTAGTCAATTTATTGGTATTTGCACCATTATTTACCTCCCCCAAAAAGGAGATTGAGCCTATTTAGTAAATTTGGCCCTAAGATTCTTTTCTCATTTATTAATTTATTCTCTATTTAATGTATTTTTTAGTTTGCTTCACAGAAACTTTGTTGTTTATCTATTCAGAAACATATGAAGAAGCTCGCCAAAAACTACCAGAGGCAGAAATAAACACAGACCTTACAGATGTGGACTCGCCCCCCGTGAGAAGAAAAAGACACATGTAAATACAGGACATACAGAGCAGAGTATGGCTGCTGAATGAGGAGAATAAATTGAATAATCTGTTTTTTTTTTGTTTTTTCATCAGTAAAAGGGCACGTTTTTTCGATGATAGTGAAACTGAGGATGAGGCAAACTTTCCACTTCCAGCAGCGCCAGAAGTGCAAATCAACCCCATCAGGAAATGTAAGATTGGCCAATTTGTGCAACAGTTATAGTTCTATTAATTTGTTTAATTAACACTAGGGCTGTCAGTTAAACGCGTTATTAACGGCGTTAATTTTTTTTATCGCGAGTTTAGCAGTCTTTTTGGCCTAGCAAACCTTGTAGTTTTTTTCACATGCTTTTGCAACAGGACGCGGCATGCGTTTTGTTGCTTCGTCGACCAAAGCGCAAGCGGATCTAGCTAGACCGGAAACAAAACAACAGTAACGCCACACACACTTGTTTAGGCTTGCGAGCCGGCCAAATAGTAGATTAACGTTAAGTTTTGAGTGGATGACGAGCGCGAGACGCCGAAATGGATGCCAATAAGATTCTGAATGTAAAGTTTACTTTTAAAAAGTTGCCAAATGGTCCCATTGATGAGACCAAAGTGATCTGTGTGTTTTGTCGTTGTGAACTGAGCTATCATCATCGCAGCACGTCCAGTCTGAAACACCACTTGATGATGGCCAAGCACACACACACACACACACACACACACACACACAAAGCTGATGCGAATTCTCCGCACCCTCATCAATATCAGGACCTCGTCAGTATTTCTTTCACCCTTTTATTGATGGACAGTGTTACTTTGAGAGATTATTTGCTCCAAGTGAGAATGTTAGTGTGAAATTGAACACAGTATATGCCAATGTTGTTTTCAATAAAAAATATTTGCACAAAGCAAGCCGATCCACTTTTTCAGGTTGATAAGAGCATTAAAATGAGAAAAAATAATGGGACAAAAAGAAATCAAGAGACATTTAGAATAGATAAAAATGTGCGATTAATCGCGAGTTAACTATGACATTATTCGCGATTAAATATTTTAAGCGTTTGACAGAACTAACACATTTGTTTTTTTGTGGATTAATTTAAGGAATACTATCATCAGTTCTGGAAATACACTTTACACAGTGTTTTCAAATACACAGTATTTGAAAACACAGGGCATACGAGTTACAGAGTAGATATGCTTGCCACTGCAGACAAATAAAACATCAATTTGATATCAGTTAGACCTAAACTTGCCTCAAAGCTCCTCAACACTGACCTCTCCAATTTCTCCCAATTTTTTCCTGTTCAGGTACCAGCAGAGGAGGGAATTACTCCCAACCACTAGCCAGAGAGGAGGCAGACACTATGAATTGTGAGTATTTGAAAACACAGGGCATACGAGTTACAGAGTAGATATGCTTGCCACCGCACATAGATATATACACTAGATGTCGCCTTGGCTAAGGCAGTTCATTGGAACGAATGCGTCAATAGAGCCGCCATCATGGAACAGGGGAGCCCCTCTTTAATGCATAAACGTCAATGTAGGCAAAGGTCTAACGGAAATAAAATCACCATAAATTGCCATGAATGCGATTGTCTAGTTTTTTGGTTCGTTCCAATGGTCAGACATGTATTTATCATGGAGTCCAGAGAAAATTATTATTATTATTATTATTTTTTTTTTTTTAAACATTCTTCCTAGTTCAGATTTCGTTCGTGTGAACATCCATACGCAGCACAAAAGTCAGAAAATCCATGAATTCGAAGTACAGGCGGAGATAGCAGCGTTACCTAGCTACTTCCTATGACAAGACCCCTGTTCCAAGATGGCGGCGGTTTTGACGCATGCTTAGAACCCCAAGGCGACATCTAATGTATATATCTATGGCCACCGCAAACAAATATAACATCAATTTGATATCAGTTAGACCTAAACTTGCCTCAAAGCTCCTCAACACTGACCTCTCCAATTTTTCCCAATTTTTTTTCTGTTCAGCTACCAGCAGAGGAGGGAATTACTCCCAACCACTAGCCAGAGAGGAGGCAGACACTATGAATTGTGAGTATTTGAAAACACAGGACATGTAATAGTCCAGTCATTTTATGAAAAAAGTAGGACAAATTGCAACAGAAGCAAACCTAACTGATTTTGTATCCTCAATATGTCCTAGGTAAGGAGAAAAAAAAAAGGGGTGGTGGTGCTCGCTTTCGGGTTAAGCTTTCCGCGACTGCGCAACTGGGTTATAGGTTGCTGGGTTGAAATTGTATATGGTGTGTGTATTGTGTAAATATAATGCATTTAATACAAGATCTGGCAACTGGTCAACATTAGACAAACATATTGATCCTATTATTCATAAAGGAGTTTGGACCATGCAAATTACGGGAGTTTCCCGGGAGAAATAACAAATCGGGAGGGGTCCTGGAGATAGGGCAAAAAAAAGGGAGAAAAACGGGAGTGTTGACAGGTGTGACATATTGAGGATATGAAATCAGTTGAGTTTGCTTCAGTTGCAATTTGTCCTAGGTTGACCTCCAATTTGGCTTAAAATGACTGGACTATAATGTTTTTTAGCTTAAAATATGTTTATATCTTTGTGTTTTGTGTTAATATCCAATGTTAGCCAAATTCAGGGGTGACACTATATTTTTGGCCTGTTTTGATGCCATCAGGGCGCCAAAAACAAATCCGCAGTAACCAAAGGAGGACATCAACACCTGTGAAACGGACATCAGTAACCCGTAAATTTACAATATAACTTTTTCTTCCCATTTAACCCATACCCATATTTTACCCATATAACATGTGCTAAAAGCTACTGCTAAACTTTGGCCTTTCCCACTAATTATCCTTTACAGCAAGGAATCGCACCCCACAATTTAGGCAAGGAGAGGCAGAAGTCTTTAGTTGTAAGTATATACTGTGTCAGTTCACTAGCACGGCATTCAAATCTTACAGGTTTACCCATGTATCCAAAATACTGTTACACAATAAACTATTTAAGTTCTAAAACTGACTGTGTTTAACTCCTTAACCATTAGTTACCTTTTAAACCAAATTATGTACAAACAAATCTGCAGAGCCATAGAGTAAAAATAAGATTTTTACTTCCTTCTACTGTCATTTAACATGTTCAAACTAAGATCTTGTTGTGTTCCCCTTTTTAGCACCATCCCACACTGGTTTCAGTGAAGGTAGGTACTGACTTTTTTTTTTTACACAGTGATATGCATTTTTTACTTTAATAGCTTTTTCTTTTTTCTAGCTTGGATACGCAAAATTCTTGCAAACCAAGAAATGATTAAAGAACAGATGGGCACATTGGTTAAATTGGTCTACGACCTCAAAAAATTATCAACTACAGAAGACAGCCCAACATTAAACACAGACTGTTTTCCACTGTCCAGTTTCCAACAACTTCAAGTCATTTGAGGGGCAGCTGCAGCAGGAAGTAGGTACAGTACAGTAGGTAGTCAACCACATGTTTAAACCATATCCGTACTCAGTAGCGGTTTAAGGCACGGGCGAACCGGGCACAGGTGTTGATGTCCTCCTTTGGTTACTGCGGATTTTTTCATATCACATGGGGGGCGGCACGAGCAGTTAAAAAAAATCCTCTGCGCCGCGAAGGTTTTCTATTTTCTATCATTTCAATTCAATTATTGGCAATGGCGCCCCTGCTTGCTGAGAAGGTGCCGTGCACAGAAGCTATGTCAAGGGGGTCTGATTGGAGGTAGCTCACCAAGGGGCCGTTCACATATCGCGTCTTTTGCGCGCTCGAGGTCGTTATTTCAAATGTAGGTGCACGGGAAGCGCGCTCATTATTGAAGCGACGCGCTCATTTTTTCCAGGAGCAGCGAGATGAACATTTTTAATCTTTTCAGTATGGGGGTGCACCCAAACACGTGGGTGTTTTTCTCTTCTCCGTAAATAAATCTTGTAGCAGAGCTACAGCAAGCGTTTTTCTGTGGTGGAAATCCATTAGCTACTAAAACTTCTTTGTCGTTGTGGAGAGCGCAGAGCATGGTTGTATAGCAACGACAGAAAATCGGACCGAATTTTACTATTAATAATAAAAAATAAGCTACTGTGCATTATAAATGTCAGGAATTTATCTTTATTGACCCATTCTTTTTATAAAGATGATTTAAAGGCTGAAATATGTGAGGTCTATATAAATATGTGTAAATATGTGACCCCCTCGAAGGGGGTCTCGCCCAGGGTGTAATTCAATGTAGAACCGCCACTGTCCGTACTGGCTGGGCTGGTTCGACATGGAATGGTTAAGCAACAAGAAAGGTTTGGCCTGGTGAAGAAACTGCAATTGTATGCTTTCACTCACACTAACTGATTTGCTGAAATTAAAATGTGGATGGTGATCGTTAGCACTAACCAATGAGATTGCTGGTTGCGAACAAGTTCCTCTTACTGCTGAAAGAACTGAAATGAATGAAAATTAGCCCATGATTTACTCACCCTCAAGTCACCCTAGGTGTATATGACATTCTTCTTTAATACAATCTGAGTTATATTAAAAAATGTCCTGGCTCTTCCAAGCTTTATAATGGCAGTGAATGGCTGTATATTTTCCAAGTCCATTTTTTGAAGGCCCGTCTGCCGGAAGCCATTTATTCGATAAAGTTTTAAATATGGATATTTTTCTTACACAAACGCATCGCTTTGCTTCAAAAGGCCTTTATAAACCCCCAGAGCTGTATGGAGCACTTCAAAACAGAAACGGCTATTCACTCGTGTATTAAAACTTGGAAGAGCCAGGACTTTTTTGGAGGGTATACTATCCCTTTAAAGGCTAAATAATTCCAAATGAACTTTTTTTTGACCGGTAAAAGCCCACACCGTTTTTGTACATTCTATTCAAAGGATGGTTTTTGGATGCTTGTTCCTTTATTTGTGCATACATTTATTTTTACAGATAAACACGTTAGCCTTGAGGGGAGGCACAACAGTCAAAGAAAGCGTATGGCGGATTCTCAGCTTCCTTCTTTCAAATGACATGGCCCGTCAGATTAACTGGAGGGGAATCAATGGAAAAGCTGCATTTAAAGACACCTCTCTAAAACCTGTAATCAATGGTATGGCTTTCTGAAATTAACTGATTTTATTTGTGTTGTTTGGTGTCCCTATAAATGTTAGATTTATAATAAATAACAATAATTATTTGCTTATTTACTGTTGGTCATATATGTGTCATTGTAGCTGCTGTCAGAAGAAACCGGTTAACTGCCACTGCAACAGACCAAGAGATTGAAAATTGGATCAAAAGATGGCTGCAGCTTTCCGCAGACAGGGATGGAGGCCGTCGGGCAAGACAAAAAAATTAAGATTGTTTCCTGGTTCTGACACTTGCTCACCCATTACCTTGTTCGCACTGCCTGTTCAATGGACTCCCCTTTTGCCCTGCTCTCTTTTTGAACTGTTGATCTGATTCACCACTTTGTTTTATTAAATTGTAATTCAGTTAAGAACTTGCTTTCTCCTGTTTCTGACACTCGCTTGACCTTGTTCCTAATATGTAGACCTTGGTCTAATGTTTTCGTTGGACTGCCTTCTGGTTTCTGGCAGTCCTCCCCTTCTGGAACCCTGCCTGTTTTACTTTATTTATTTATATAATATAATATGTATTTATTATATTAATTGTTTCCTATTTATATTTATAAATATGTATGTTTTCTTTGGACTGCCTTCTGGTTTCTGGCAATCCTCACCTTCTGGACCCCTGCCTGTTTTTTATATATTTATTACATTTATATTATATAATATGTATTGTTTCCTGTTTTTGATTTATATTTATAAATATGTATGTTTTCTTTGGACTGCCTTCTGTTTTCTAGCAATCCTCACCTTCTGGACCCCTGCCTGTTTTATTTTATATATTTATATTCTATTTAACTATATAATATGTATTTATAATATGTATTGTTTCCTGTTTTGATTTATATTTATACATATTTAAATGCATTCATCAAATTTCTATATTTATTAAATCACTTTTGACTATGATTACCGGTATTCTCGTTTTTTTTATTTATTATAAGATAATTAGATCTGGGCAAAATATCCATGCCATTTCTGAGATGTGGCCCATGCATGGCCCAGATGCGGCCCATGCCATTTCTGAGATGTGGCCCATGCATGGCCCAGATGCGGCCCATGCCATTTCTGAGATGTGGCCCATGCGTGGCCCATGCCATTTCTGAGATGTGGCCCATGCGTGGCCCAGTTGTGGCTGACTTCTAGTTGCCACACTCAGGTTGAGTCATCGCCGTCATTCCATGCGGTATGTGGGCCAGAAGAATGTGGAAGATGTGGGCCACAACTGGGCCAGATGTCATTTGCTATCTGGGTTGTGTCCCGCCAAAGCCTTTTTTGATCAGTGAGTGATGTAGAATAGAATGACTGCTGCGCTTGACAGGGCGCATAACGAGCAGAGAGAGAGAGAGAGAGAGAGAAAGAGAGAGAGAGAGAGAGAGAGAGAGAGAGAGAGAGAGAGAGAGAGAGAGAGAGAGAGAGAGAGCCCCGGCCGCGTGTGCGCACTCACGTCTTCAAACAACACGAGCGCTGTCTTGCTCTCTCTCCCTCGCGCATATTAATCAAAATCAATTGACACGATAGTAAAAGGTCAGAAGACCGCAGTTTCACGTGGAGCATTTGGAGATTTTTTTTTTATAGATATTAGAGACTCTAGGAACAACATCTCGACGAACATCTCAACACTAAATTATAAAGGCCTGTCTCATATAGACGCCTGTCTCAAATACAAGCCGGTGCAGTTCGACGATTTGGGCAAATAAAAGCCCGGGCTATTATTTGAAGTTTTACGGTATACATGTTAGTACTTCGTTCGTTGGTTTGGTGTGCACACTTACTGGCGTGCGTTGTGTTATGTCTGTTTCCTTATCCTTGTTTTGTTTTGAGTTTAAGTTACCGTGGCATGGAGGTTGGATGAATGGCGTTGGCTGCAGGGGTGCGTCTTTCTGTCATCGCGGGCTTGACGGACAAAGGGCTGAGGCGCGTGCAGCAGTGAATATTTATGGTCTGAGCATTCCGCTTGCCGATACCAACTAGATGCTATGTCATGGGGGGTGGGGGGGGGGGGGGGGGGGGGGGGGGGGGGGGGGGGAGGTGAAGAAAATGAAATTTATGGTTTTGATTGGTTCCAATTTATTTCTATTTTACACTTGTTGGTTTGTATTCTTGTATTGTTTGTTTGTTACTTTATTTACTTAGATTAGTTAACTTGTAACTAATTTGTTGATTTATGAATTGTTGATTGTATAATTTCCCCTGTCTTGTTTAAGTGAGCTCACCGTCTGGATACCTGTTGGTTGTCTCATTTGGGGGGTAATGTTTGTGTTGTTCAGTTCTCCTTAGTTCTCGTTATATTGCGTTAAAATTTGTTTTTGTTTACTTTATTTAAGTCTAGCTAGATTTTTTGTTGAAACAAGTTGATTTATTTTGTTTCCTTTAATTGGGACTTTTCCTTATTTTTTTTGGGTAAAATAAAACCCATTTTTTGTTGGAAATCCTGTGTCCTTGTGCCTTACTACTTGGCTATATCTGACACTAATTTTGGCAAATAAATGTAAAAAATTGCGTTGTTTCTGACGGACTTCAAGCACTCGCTGGGCGGGGGAAGATTGATGTGCCTGATGGGGGGGGGGGGGACTTGGTTGAATGAGACAACACGCGAGGAGTCAGAGGCGGGCGGGAGCGAGCACAGCAAAGAGAAGGCAAACAAGCAAAGTGAGAATTTCAGAATTTAATATAAACAATATCTCGATATATACGATATGTCAAAATCCACATCGTGTTTAAAAAATATATCGATATATTTTAAATATCGAGATATCGCCCACCCCTAATATCTACCAAGTAAATTTCTACAATT